CCCCTGGGAAGAAGTAGAATTACGCTGACAAGTGGGAAGCGTCCCGGATACAATGTTGAGCCACCACTAAAAAGTTATAAATAAAACACTATCATTAAATCTATCATTTTGACATTTTTCAGTAGTGTGAAACGAATTTTTTTCCCATTTTGCTGGGAAAGCATTCATTCTGTAAGAAGTTTTGGAATCAGTAAGTGTGTCATACAGTTTTCGTTTATATGTGCCCTGTCACTTAAATGGAATAATTTATATGCCATTTTAAGATAAATTGGAGTAAGTGAAATGAAATCTCCATCTAAAAAAAAACTTGAGACCAAGGTAACCGTGGGTTAATAGTAAATGAACATACTATTAAGCAAATGCCATTTCCGCTGCGTGGCATTATTGCTAATTGCTGCATGCATGCTGCTTTCGCAATATGTGTGGATTTCAGACGGTCGTGTAATTGCATATTCTCTTTCTGTGCTGTCTTCTGGTGTGAAATAAAATTTACTTTTATATTTTGGAAAGTACGTGAAATAAACCATTTATCTAACAACATCTCAAATTCAAAGTCGAAAGGAGGATATTATAAATATCATCAGAGGTGACTTACTGTGAAGCAATGTTTAATGCCATCCCTCTCCAACAAAGCCAGGCTGTTTTTAGAGACAATAACATGATTTCAAGTGCAATTTGATGTAAATAAGCTCGAGTAAATTTCTCAAAGACAAAATTGTACGAGCCCGTAGAGCAAGTGCAATTTGTAGTCTTTGAAAAATTTACAAGTGCTTATTATACCAAATTACAAAAGAAATAATCTTATTACTTATTAATAATGTACATGAAAAAACATCGCAGAAAGTCAAGACAGACGAAATTTTGAAAGCGGTGCGTTTTGACTTACATTACTTTGCACTCGTGTTACATGAGAATGCACTCGTATTACATGAGAATGCACTCGTATTCAGCCAATCAGAAGCGCGTGATTTTTTCATGTACATTATTACGACTAAAATTCAAGTTGACCCAGTTCTCATACTAAAGTCCAAAAAGTTTCTGATGATACAAACATATATTGACATCAATATAAGAAAATACATTTTATTGCTTTTTTTAACACCAATTACAAGAAATTATATTAATAGGGAATTAAATAATAAGAGTACCAGGGGTATCATGAGAGACGTATGTTTGTAATCTTAGCTCTTATAAAAAAGATTTGGTGATCAACTGTATGCGCTTTTTTACACGATAAAAATAGTGAGGTTATAAGTTCTCCCGTTAATCACTGAGCTCAGATTTCCAAGGATCAGTGCCATATAAAGAGCATTTTCAGAAGTCAAATTAAATGGTTTGCAAATCTTTGGTTTAAAATGAAATGCTCCCCTGAATCTCGAACTGTGTCTGTGTTAGATTTAAGGGTACTCATTAGCCACATGAATATAGTCAAATTACCTTTACCAGTATCCGTCGTAGGATACTTGCAAAGTAGACTTGATTTGAAAAAAACAGGTTATTTGCGAACTTACGATCCAACTACAAGCGTTATCAAACTTTTGCGAACCATTGCTTCGATCTTCCCATTTCTGAGGGCAAGTTTACAAACACTTTGATACAGTCCTTACACAATTCATAAAGCTCTCTACTTTAGCCAAAAAATTGAGATCATTACTTGTCATCTTCTTTCACACAAATCTCATGCACTCCAAATATTCTGCGAAAGAAAAACACACAAAGTTGGAAAATTTCGTCGACGATTGCAAATAATACAAAATGGAATTCTCCAGAACAGGAAAGTCAATCAAATCAAATAATTATATATCAAGTATGATCATTACACCTTGCCAAGTGCATCTTCTATCAATGTTCTGACTTACCCAACTTGCTTACATACAAGTCCCGCCTTGCATGGGCCGCAAGCTCTTTGTACCTGAGCTCCAATGTAAACATTTTTAAAGAAGTTGATGGGACCACAAACCATGTTCTCTTCCAAGGGTGGCTTGCAAACGGAGATATGCGGATTGATGGCTGGTTCTCTGAAATGACATAACACAACAAAAAACAAATACGTCTCCGAATGAACCTACAGTCTACCCTTCTGTTTGTCTATCTGCCTTTGAACGTTCTCAAATGGCCTGTCTATCAGCCCGCCTATTTATCGAAACATTATCATGTAGACAAGCGTAAAGGTGGGTTCTCTGTATGCTTGTCTACATGCTCGCATTTTTCTTATTTCGTAATTTTATAGCCTAGTTGTAAGTTTCCCAACACGTATGCGTCTTTTACAATTTGCCGTCACTCTGTGGATCCTTGCACTGAGAAAATGAAGCTAAGAGACTGGACTTTCAAGGTGGCCTTTTTCGTTAAGGCGATCCTTTCAAAATAATCATTAGATGACTCGTTTCAAGTACCCCAGAAGGATCTAAAAAGTAGTCATAAACTATTATAAATTTCGCCAACGCAAACATCTCATGAGATGTCTGTTTGTTCTCCATAAAACATTTTAACAACATGCAAGGAATGCGTAAAATTATTCCAGGTAGAGCAAATTCCTTTAGTCTATAAAATAAATTTAGTAGGATTAACTCTGGAAAGAAAATCACGCGAGAGATCGAGTACCTTAACTTGTTCCCTTCCTTTTTTTACATACAAACCTAACACAACACGTTCCAGGAGGGTCTTTACAATCATCGTGTCGATCACAGAATGTTCCAGGAGAACCTCCAGAGGCATCTTTTTTACATCGGCCATAAGTACACTGGCCATGACAACACTGACCATTTTGAGTGCAGGCGACATTTTCCTTTAAGCAGTGTACACACAGAAACATGTGACAATACTTTCCTGAAAATCACACAAAGAAACAAAACAAGGAATCTCAACAAACTCAGTGATCGTAATAGCAAAGCCTAAAAGGTAGTAACCCAAACTGACCTCAGTGGATAGTACACATTTTCGCTGTTATTTTTCTCCGGTCGTTTCAGAGCTAACTTTAGTACTTTTAAACCTTTTTTTTTGCAGTATTTAACCATTAAATCCTTTTCGAAAACTTAATTTTCGTTCTCTGATTAGTAATCACAGTTAAAATAATCCCATCAACTAGGTTCATTTTATTGCCAGAGCTTATACCAAAGCCGAGCTGAAAACTATGCCAAGTATCATAAAACTATTTGGCATATCACTACACCTCCTGCATGTGATGCCAGCACATAGCAGTTTACCCCTGGTCATCATATCGTCAAATTTCCCCTTCAAATCGACGGCACTCATTTTTACTACCAATAAATAATGATCCTGGTAGGCGAGGAGGGGCCTGTACTAAAGAGGAAAGTGCCTTGTACAATAACAGAGCACATTAACAACACTAATGACTTGAGTCTGGACCTCTTAATCCAAACTCCAGTGCGCAAACACAATGGCCATCGCGTTCTCTGCATTCCCTGTGATTAAGTGCTTGTTCAACTACTTATCTTCACGGTACGCTATAGGGATCGTAACCTCTGCTTGATCCCGTTGTAAATTTTTTTTTTTGTCTCATGGAAAAAGGGTCTTCACATTTCAACTAACCTTGGTCACAAGGCTTGTGGGCATTGCATTCTTGAGAGTAATATCCTGGTGCAAGCATGCGTGGCTGCGGTTTTTCTACCCCAGCATTGGCAAGTGGGGCCATATCGGACTCCATCTGGGGAAATGGCTGCATCATGTCCTGAGTCAAGAGATTTAAATTAATTTAATCATCACAGTGAATAGGAAGGTCAATTTGCATCGACGTCTCCGTCCAAAATAAACATACATCCACAAGACAGCTTGCCGAGGAATTTTTAGTGATGTTATGAATCTAAGTTAGTCACGGCCATGTAAGCTTTGGGGCATATTGTTAAACACTTATGAGTGAACGGAATCAAATGGAATCATTCCTCTAGATGTAGGCTCTGTAGGGCATACCATACAGAGCCTCTCCTCAAGGGGCTCTTGTCTTTCAGCAATACTAAGGTACGTAAATTAAATACCACTATTTGTTTGTTATGGCTTTGAACTGACATTACAAACGGCTTCGACAAAACAAAAAGAAAATGGGAGGCACTTGTGGTAAAGTCCTAGTATAGACAAGTCACGCCATCATTGTTAAACTACGACCAAGTTATCCTTCTGTTATAGTTTGTTTATCTTTTAGACTCGTGATCTGGGTGCGCTTTTAGCAACACCTTCACGGTGATTTTTCGAGTAATTACTGGTCCCGGGCGCTGATTTGGATCAACTTCGGCGTTGCGAGGCAGCCTATACATGGTCGTCTTCGCTAATCAAAACAATCTGGATTTTGATCGCCTTATTTCTCAAATAAACATACCTGTGACCTCTTCCACAGAAATATTTAACCAAATTTAGGTTGCCCAAACTTACCTTTTTAACTCTGGTATTTTCGGATAACTGCTCTTCTTTTTTCAATAATTGCTTTAGGGCGATGTTCTTCTTGGCAGTTGCCCAAGGTAGCCAAATTTGGCTAAGTATAGTTCCTATTAAAAGCCACCATTTCGACTTTAAGTTCATTTCGTCTCGAAGAGGACTCTTTGAAGTCCTAATTCTCGCTAGGCCTTCGACTTTGGGCCAAGTTACAGAGCGTTTATGTGGCCAGAATTATTTCATTCAGTCATCTATTATTAATAGTTTCCGTCAAAGCCCAGTATTCACTCCACCGTGTGAAAAGGATCAATATAAATCCAAGTGTTAGTTGATAGTTTTCTTCAATTTTTAAGCTATGCCTAATCTTCACGAAACAAATTTCGCTTGATGTGTTCGTCGAGATGCATTTTCGGTCGTTATCCCTTTCTGAAGAAATAAGGCGATTCGTTGGGTGCTCGCCGTAAACTGGTACCGGTAGTTAGGAACAAAGAGGGCATGGAAAAAGCTTTGTTGCCTTTTGTGAAGAAACACACAGATATGTAGTAATACCAACCAAAGCGAGATATCTTATCATATCTCTACACTTAGTTTCAGTGACAAAGCAGCTAAGGAAATAGTCTCTTAGCAACTTAATATCTCAAACCAACTCAGCTAAGGGTATTTAAAACAAGTATCTGATAGCTTCTAAGTTAATTGCCTCGGGAACTAGGGATTGATTTGTGTCGAAGAAACTAATGGTAAATTTGCTCACAGTTGCAAAACCATTTTTATCTTGCAGCCTTTAAGTTAACCTTTTCTCTCCGTAGCAATTATTCGCACCCTAAGTGTCATCGGCAACACCACTTTTAACCAATGAAAGCAAGCGATTATCACTAAGAAAACAAACAAAATCAATCGTATGTATGAGGGACCGATTTTATCAAGGATCGAGTACATCGACCAAAGATTATAATTTAACCTACAGACAAATGACTTGCGTCAAAAGCAAAACCCGAACCTTGTCAACGTTTTCATTTTCCACCTTAAAATATATTAACAGAGGCTGCAAACTGGAGAAGAAATTAGACAAGAGGATGCACTGCTCAAAAGCATCCAACCTATTTCACTTTGTGGCCGCGGCTTTACCCAAATTCACTTTATGTATTATGGTATAGCCCACTGTACATCGTTCTCAGTGACCAGAATGCACGAGCTCCAAAGATTACAGTGCTCGTCATTTTAAACGAAGAAAGAGAATTTATTCAAACAATTTGAGGTCATCGAAAGCCGAGAGGAGATCCTCTCGAAACAGCCATTTTGACATTTTTCTTCGAAGGGATGGAATAATTTTATTCAATGGAAAAGACCAGTCAGTATATATTCAATATTCAAATGGGACTTGACCTGATCCTCACAAATACCAACTTGTTCAAGTGCTAAATTTTTACCCAATGAATAATTTATGTCAGTGACTCGAATACAAGAGACGCTTGCTTTGGTTACGAAAATGGCATGAAATGTTTTCTAAACTAGGACTGTTTGTATTAACTCTAAAACTATTCAACACAGTCGCAGCTTCTGGAAGAATTGAGGAAGTAAATAGTCCGAAGGGGAAAAGCCGCGCAGATGCATCGGAGAGACGGGTAAAAAACCAAGAATTGTTATTCTGTGAGTCATCGACAACATATGAAGGGAACTAGGTTGATATTTAGTGCTTAGCCGTGCCTGGGTATTACAATATTTTGCGGTCTTTCTGGTCTCAGTTTTATTTCACACAAAGATCGACGCAAACAGCCCATTGTCAACCGGGTACCGACTGAACAGGCAATTCAATAAGTCGTTTATCAAGTGGTCGTGAGCTGATGACCAGTCAAAATGTACAATAACTACTAAACATATCGGACAACAGTTAGTGTAAGTTGTTGCCGAATTTTGTTTGGCCGATGACTATAATCAAAGTAATAGGCGACACCCCATTCGGCCAGAATCTTACCAGTTGATATCAGGGTAACTTATCCTTTTGAATCGTTCCCGCAACTATCAATGATCTGAAGAATTGTGTTGTTCAGCGACAAATGAACTGCTGACTCGACAGCACTTGAAGAGCTACATCCGCCTTAAAAATTTCTCCTTTGAGTGATGCTGTACTATTTACTATTCAGTGTACCATACATGTAATACTCACTATTTCTCTACATTTCCTTTTTAGCAATTTATATTGCACATGCCGTCACCTTGGCATTATCGCGCAATGGTAGAGGCTGGGACCGACGAATGCAATGTGAACAAAGATTGTCCAGCCGGGAAGTTTTGTGACGTTCATACATGCAGGGCATGTCTGCACGAAAGAGCAGCCTGTCATTTCATTGGTAAGGAAATACTAGTTGAAGATGATTTTACGCTATTTCCAACTAAAGAAATCGTTTTTTTTCTTTAAGGAACCTGCTGTGAGGGATACGCTTGTCAATATGGCCAATGCACCAAGGGCGTACAGCAAGGGGAGCCTGGTACGTATTGCGACAGGACTTCGGATTGTCTCGGCAAAGAATCGTGCTGTATTCGGGAGATTTCCGTCAATCCACACACGTCCATGTGCAAGCCAATGCTAGATGAGTTTGAGTCGTGTGGCCCAATCAATTTGTTCCACCATGTATACACAGGTGGTATGGTGGAACCAGATTGCGGACCTTGTAAAGTTGGACTCCAATGTAAGAATGTTGGGTAAGTTCAATTTGTATTGCATTACTACCAACAGAATAAAGTTTTGTTTAAGAAGACGTTCGTATGTACCGTTCGATATAAATAATTTGGAATAAAAATCGCTAAGCATGAAAAATAACCGTGTGAAGCTTTTGTTTTCTGATTTGTTTCTTACTTTCTTTGTTTGGGGTTGAATTCTTTATTTGTGCATGTTATTCTTACACAGAAAAAAATTTCTTGAGAGGTGATTACATTTAAAACATATCTTGTTAAAACCAAATCGCTGGAAATAAACTTCACCTCCCTTCTTACTGTGTATTTTTTCTTTTCTCACAGAACTAATGGCCTTCACTTTATTTGCCTCAAAGAGGGCGAGGAATAGCGCAGATCAGATCTTTTTTTCAACTAATCCTATAAACTGCCACGTTAGTCTCGTGAAAGAAATTCTTGGCCCACACGACGGACGGCGAAACTCGGTTGAATTGTTGCCGGATGTCTCATAATGGAGTTATATAATGTGTAAATAAACTAATCAACACTGATAAACTTCCAGTATCTCAAAATAAATTCTTCCTTCTCACTACTACACAATTACTCATACAATATTTTGAAAAATTTGGTTTTATGTTTAGAAGAGCCCGAGATTAAAAAACACACCCAAAATTGATAGAGGCCTTTTCACATCTCCTGTTTGCTCATATCGTTACGGGAAGTTATTTAAGAATCTCCCCCAGGGGATGGGCTTGGAATTACAGGAAAGGTACTTGTACTAAGCACTTCCAGTTAACAAGAATGGAACTACCCGTCGATAAATTGGTCAATCCTGAAATGACAACCTTGCTGTTTAACTACAGCAATATCCAGACCTCTGAAAGTCCATTAATCAGTTAAGTAAGACCTGGTTACCAAAATGCTGCGGTCTTTAATGAACTAGGACTTAATGTAGAATCCCAAAGATGCCTGTGCATGTAATTTAAGTGTAAAATTAACGGAAAAAAGCTGAATTTGCACAGCACTCTTCAACACATCTCCCTTTAAGTTGAAAACAAATAAGCCAATTTAAGTCTTTTATTCAAGCCTCACACAGTAGAGTTTATTTCTGGTAGTTCGTTTGTACGCTTTCTTTGTTTGTATAGTCCCGGAAAAGGTAATCGAAAGAGAAGTAAAGAGACACACAACTCTGATTCAAGACTCAGTGTATACAGCGTTTTAGTTTACAATTTTTTACTTTATTTTATCCAACTTAATATCTTTACAAATCAATTATTTCTTGTCCAGTTTCTTAATAACATAACGTAGCTTCCATTGGAGTATTGTTGTTTAAAACTTTATTTTCTTTTCCTTGCCTGTTTTCCCGGCCTTGCTCGGTTTTATTTCCTTTTTCGAAACTTCATCGTCGATGGACTTTGTCTCCTCAGGTCGGATGCAAGCCTTACGGCCAAAAAACCTTGACAAAACAAGTTCGTTAATTAGCAACTGAGTAGTTAATTAAAGCTAATATGGTTTTTACTTCATTTGTTAGATGAAAAAAAAACATTCCGAACGGGAATGGATTTACAGGAGGGGACCATTTATCGAGAGGGGACTTGGTCGAGGGAGCGAACTAACCACTCGGGTAAACCTTCTTGCTTCAGGTGCCCGCCGCAAAAGAATTCAATGGTACAACTACTCCGGCTTCCGCCTTCCCTTGATTAAAGTATCAACTCATAATCAACTCTCTCCTCAAATAAAAAAAACACAGAATGTCCATATTTTTCAAATCCATAACATTCTTACACATGGATACTCACCCACAGTTCTAACTGCGAGTTTAAGCCGAGCTCAGGCTTTGCTCAAAAAAATTAGGACAACTCTTAAAAACCAAGGACGAAGGGGAAGGTTTGCCATAAAGTTTACAGTAGCAAGTAGATCTCGACCTACCCAACAGTCTTGCACACGAGTCCCTTCTTGCAGTAGTTCGACACCTCCTCAGCTGGTCTGAACAAATCAAAGAGGCCAGCGTGGCCACAAGTAGCTCCTTCTCCTAACTTGGCCATACACAGACGGAAGTAACGACTGATATCCGGCTGCTCTCTGCAGCTGAGTTCCTCGTCCGCAGAATGGCAATCACTGTCCGAGTCACAAAATGTGCCTACAAACGATTATAAAAGGTGTAGCATGAGTTCTTGGGTTTTCTAACTTTTTTCCCTTGGAAAATGGAAACCCTACAGATACTCAAATACTCAAAAGAAAAGAAGTAATAAAAAGTAAGGAATTTGACTTAAAAGATTGAGAAAGTCAAGTCTCAATTAGCAAAGAGGCCAACGGGTGGAAAAATCTGCCCTGGCCCACCGGGGCCGTTCTCCTTAGCAGCGAGACCAGCTTGCATTTCTTCTCTCTGCCTATTCTTAAAATTTAACATGGCTCGGTAGGCGACCCGTTATCAACTAGAAACAGCTTAGACTAGAATATTCTTGGTTTGACCCCAAGCCAGGAACATTGTTGTGTTATACTACTCAATAATTTAATGAGAATTATTACAGAGAGACTTTCAGTCTTGCACACCCAATGCCCAGAGCCCATCCACTTCGAAGCTTAGGTTGTTTTCCATCGCTTGAAGCCCCTGGGAGAGAAGCTTTTCGCTTCTCCTCTTGGGTGACATCGTTTTCCATTAGAAGTTATCGGCACTCTTAATCCCCATGGTATCAACGAGCGCTTTTTATTCAATTAATTTATTCTTGCTTTCTCGTCACCATATTCCCACCAATAGCGTAGCTCCATTTTCTACATATAAACCCACGCACAACCCACAATTCCTCTAATCGCTCTGACGAAGGGCTAACGCTCGACGCATCAGCTTTTAAACTCTTTTTTGATAATACTAAATTACCCTGTTATACTATTGTCAGCTGACAGTTCGCTGATGCCATTAATACTCCTCGTAAATGTAGAGGGCCTCTTTGAGAGTTAAGAAATATACCTACGAACACAATATGGCCCGACTTAAATTCGAACCAGGACTTTTCGATCCAAAGTTTGTATCACGTGGCCACCATGTCTTTCACTATATCTCCTATCCCTAGTGATTCTGTCCCATCAAAATGCCAAAAGGGTGATCATGTAACATTAGTCAATTTTAACTAAGGACTCACCTGAACTACCCTCCTCGGAATTCTTTATACAGCGACCCCAGGTACATCTATACTTGTCCTCACACTGGTCTTTCTGAGTGCAAGCTGCTCCATCACTCAAACGTTTCTTACACACACCGAAAAACGCGTCACAGTATTCCACATTACCACATTCAGATGATGCGCTGCATTTCTGAAATGTAAAAGGTGAAATTAGTTTAAAATAGAATTTAAAGTTTGATACAAATGCTTAGATGGAGCTACTAAACTTTGCGAGAACGATTCTATTGTCAAGGTTGTCACCTTAGCAACGACCATTGATTTACCTCAGGATTGCCTGCCATCCACAATTGGAGAAAAGTGATCATTATCTATTTTTCAAGCAATCATTTGCAGGGCCATGATATAAACAGGCATCTTTGTTTTACATTTCCATTTTCTACCCACTATCTACTTCCCTTTTAAAAAATGACCACAATCTGCCGCGAGGCCATTTTCCTTTAATACCGTAACAGATAGTGACATCTGTACATTTTATCTGTGGTGCAACAGGTTCCTCAACTGGTACCAGTAAATCACTGTTAATGTCTGGAGATCATAAACGAATTCTACTCTTTAAGTTTATGATCCTCAAGCGTCGAAAAATACTTTCTTAAGGCTGGTAGTTTCTCTCTTCCCTTCTTTTAAGAGAACTTGAAAAGGCGGAAAGTGAAGCAGCCTGGCATTTCAAAACATATTTACGTGTTGAAATCTACAGGTAAATATCTTAAAGTAACTGAAGCTGTAAGTGGATGTGCTTTCACACTTCATAAATAAATATTCTCGTTTGAATCACTGAAATATTATAGTGAAATTCTCAATCAAATCGATAAATTTCGCTGAAAAAAAGTTAAGTTTAACTCCTGGCATTACGTTATGAAACCGAGACTGAAGGAAAATGAAAATTTTAGCGAGCACCTTGAGTTTTGTCAAAACCTAGACTCGGTATCAGTACACGGGAAGGAATGAAATTCAATTATTCTTTTATATTTTCTAATAATGCCAGTAATAGCAAATAAAATTAAAGGAAGCGAACGTTTTGAATTCCATGGCTAAACGAGATGCGAGGGTGCTTCTTACCTTGCCACCTTCATCGTGAAATTGCGGTCCAAAAGGTCCGAAATCGAACTCCATAGCGGAAGGAATCTTCACTTTTCCATCTTTGCCTTTGGGCAGTTTGTCCTTATCAAGGGTTGTGATGGACTTGTAAACCTTTGACAAGACATGAGGTGAGCTCTTGTTATCTGTGGACACAGTCTCCTCAGTAACACTGTATGTCTTGAACGGACCATGAGTCGAGTTCTTCGAGGTGGTCGTTGTCTTGGTCTTACCAGGTTTATAGTCCGCTTGTTTCGGTCCGGGGAAGAGATTTTCCAATTGTTGTCGTATGTGAGCCAAAGCACCTAAATTAGGAATAGGAATACGAAGGGCAAAGCCTGGAAACTCGGCTGCTCCTGCTTCGGGATCTTCGGCTTCATTACTTTCTTCGAGAGCCTTTTGTTGTGTATCTACTTCTTCCTTCTTGGTCTTCTTAGCATCAGTATGAAGTGCGGTCAAAGATATGAGCAAAATCAAACTGACGATCTTGTTCATTTTATAGTTCTAACGAGGCCAACCTATTCTGCACCACCTGGAGTTCAAATAATTGTTTTACCTTTGAGGATCCAAAGATCTAAATAGAGTTTAAAACACGTGCTTTGACGCAATTTGTCGACAAAGGTTGAATAATTGATTCGTTGAGATAATTGCACAAAAATTATCTTAAACAGGGTGTAATCTTCCTCTTATGGAGGTGAAGTAGAGATATTAAATATCAGCCTTGCGGAGGATGTCATGTATATGGATTTTTTCTCTATGAAATAATCTTCAGTTTATTGCAGTAATGGTTCGATACGAGGGAGTTAAGTGATGGGTTAGTTATAGCAGCAACACGAAAGCTAGCTCATTATAACTCAAATCTGTGGTACAGGTATTAAATTTGGCTACCACAGCTTACATGAAAACAAAAAAAAAATGCCCAAAAAAAGTGATCAACACCTTGTAAATCAAAACATTACAGCTAGACTTTATTTTCAAGGTGGTAGGTTAAAGAATATTTAATCAACTTCAGTTTCAGCGCCTTCTTGTCCGAGTGAAAAAAGCCATTGCACTTTGAAAGTTGTTGGTCCCACTTTTAGTTGTGTTAGTAAAATTTGATTTGGGCAACATTTGAAATAAATAAGCTATGCAATTATTTCGTGAGACTTCCTTCTGAATGTAAGAAAGAAACTGAATCAGGTTTTGACGTAATTAAGATTTAGAAATCTACAATACCACAAAACCTGGACTAGCGCAAGAAGTTACCACATAGGGTATAACAAAGAGACAAAAAGGAACCTAAAATCCCACAGAAACAAACATTCCAATCAATTCAATACGAGTATTTCGGAAATGTTAAAAGTCTACCTGCGATGAACCTGCATGAACGCTTCGTCGAACATTGAGAGATACTTATTAAACCGTAGTATAAAATTCACTTAACCCAATTAGTGCCAATTTACTAACAGCGATTTCTGTTAATTATTAAGAAAATGAGGAAATGGAAGGTTCACTTCTTCGATCACCTTTTTTAATTTGCTTAAACGTTTTCTTGGTTTTAAACAAACAAAAGTCTCTGAGCACTATGAACGAAGATACCATTCTTGTCTCAGTACCCACGGTACAATTTTTAAAAATGACGGGAAAAAGTTGTCGGAAACCAAGTTTTCCACCGTGTTTACGGCAACAGTCCACTTTTATGAACTTTTTTCACCTCAGAGGAGTATATCGACCGCAGGAATTGCTACAACACACGCGTGTCCTGCGCGCGCTGTACACACAAATTTGTGTATTGCGTGCAAGTCTTACCCAGTGAACGTAACAGGTCCTCGATAAGGCGTTACTCTGTCAGGATACGGCATCATTCCATTTTCAGGTTTGAATGGAAATTAGAGGAAGAGAGCTTCTGTCAAATTATTAACTAAACAGAATAACATTCACTTCGTAAGGTCGAGGCGTCAGACTTGACAGAGTGAAAATACTTAAAAGAGTTAAACACCATTCTTTCAAATTGATTCTCATTTTAAAACATCTTTAATAATCTTACTCGGAGGACACAATAAATAAAATTTCTAAGCCTGAAGCTAACATTGTGAAATATGTGAAGCCACCTATCTATGCAGAGCCATTTCTGTTTAGTAACCGCACCTTGGGGTACTACAGACATAAGTAACGTAGCTCGTAACAACAGTTTAACCCCTAGTTCTGGATACCAAATTACAGCTACACACTATTCTACTAAAAACGGTATAGCCCTGATAATTTATCAAAGAAAATCAAATTGCCATGGCTCATGATTTCATGATTTCACTCTTTTCCCATATTTCTCAATTTCTGAGGATTATTTGGTGTCTTCAGTTAAATTTTCAATATGAGGGAAAAGAACACGACCAGCTCTACTTTTTAAAGGGAAAGAAGTCATTATCGTGAAACCAATCAAAAGATGATTTGGTTGATTTATCTTCCACACTTCCTTCTTTTAGGCACTTGTAGGAGGAAAAGGGGAAGCCACTGCAGATAAAACGACAACAACACTTTAGTGAGAATCAAAAAAAAAATATATATCCAGTGTCTCTACATTTACAACAAGGATGTATGATGGAGCAATTACATTGCACATGGTGCAGATGTTTCTTTGCAAAAGCTACAAAATTGCCTGGAGTGAGCCATTCAACTTTAAACTTCCTCAAAAATACCACATCAATATCAGAAAAATGCATGACTTGTTTAATTTTCACACTAAATGTTGTGATCTTCATGAAATCACTAGAGGAGTAATGTATCCTCACTAGAGGAGTAATGTGTCCTCAAACAGAACAAAGATATTCTCCAACAAACATTTGGAGAATAAATGGTAGTCAACAAAGATGATTTTTAGGCTAAAAAAATCAGTGCAAATAACATTAACAAAAATACATGTATCTACTGAACTCTAAGTAACATACATGTAGGTGAACAGTAACCTTAACTTAGCATGCAAATTTGTTCAGATACCTGTTCACAGACATAGTCTGTTCTGAGAGGCAAACAGTTGTCCCAGAGCAAAGCTCAAGGAAGTCACTTTCTGAGTGTGTGTGCCAGGGACACAAAATTCAAAATAGCTTAACATTTAAAACTTTAACTGTGTCAGATGGGATATTAATTTTCAGCATTTTCTCAAACAACTTTAGGAATGAAAACATTTGCATTTGTCTCTCTAACAATAAACAATTCCTCTACTGTTCTGAAGTAGTTGCAAAACACTACTTTTACATATTGGATGCAAGATTTTAAAGTTGGGGAATAATGCTTGAGGTGTATCACTGGATGATTCCCAGTTCTAGCTGAAGCATAATGGGTCACATAAAGGGTTGTTGAAAAGAGGCAGAAAATAAGCACATTTCCCCATATTGTTCTGGTAAAAGTGCCCGCTACTCTAAAAGCTTGTGGCTCAATTTTCAGCATGGAGGCATGCCACTGTGCCACCTACTTTGTATCACAGTGCAGTTAAGAAAAAAACCATTTGATAACCTTGCATGGCACCTTTACACAAACAACCAAAGAGTGAAAATATATTTGTTGAAGTATGATTGCAAGTAGTCGGCCACATGACTAGGAATAGGATAATGTTTGGCAATCATAACATCTAATTTATGTTACTTAATCTAGAAATAAATTTATCTTTAATTGTCATACACATTGTATCTAAAGGAGGTAAGACTCTATACAGCCAAAATCAAACTTACCCAGTCCTTCTGCACTCCAAACCCTCAGCACATCTGGGTGGATTTCTTGAAAAAATCCCTCTGCTGCATGACTGTCCCTCTGTTCTAACATCTTTGCACTTTCCACCTTCAAACACACGCACTGAGCAGAAAAGGCCTGACTTGCACTGGCTGTCATAATCGCATGGAGAGTTGGCCAGCCCTGTATGCTCTGGTTGTCAGAAAAATGAAAATTGAAGAAATATAAACAGCTGTACAATATGTAGAGTTACATGCTATAATTTACCATATAAAAGGCACAGGGTTACTGTTGTAGGTTATAGTTTGACCCTTTTCCTTGTTTCAAAATTTTTTAGGAAGGTCTGATTTCAATAATAATGGGTCATTAAATAATCTTATTACATTGCCCATGGGCAATAAGAACAAATCCTGCATTCTGATTGGCTATCCAAGCAGGCAAGATGGGCCCCCACAAGAAACAAAGTGCACAGAACAGACTTATAAAGTTTGTAATTTGTGGACAATGTGGGCAATGAAGTCACAGAAAGCAGCAGAAGACAGGTGAAACAAAGACAACATAAACAACTCTCATGGGTATATAGTGCTATAAATGCATTCATCCTCTCAAAATGAACAAGTCACGCATGATCTTATGCAGATTTAATTGGCATATCTAATTATTTTCTTCAAAGTTAAGAAAGGAATAGCCTGTGAACAAGGTATTTTAACAACACTTTCTTGCTTGTTTCTTCCCATATGACAACCTTTGATGAAATGTTTAAGTCAAAGTATTATAATTCAAACCTAACTCCATTTGCATATTCAGTGACTAATTAAAAACATAAAGCCACTATACTGTTTGATATTTGCCCCAACTTCTCAAACTGATTCATATAAAAAAATTTTCAAAATGACCCACAAAATTACTTCTAAGCATTGGGTGCAGCTTAACCACCAGTTTTTACAGCAAATACAATGCTAATTGGAATGAAAAGTTATTTTTCCACCCTTAAGAAAACAATAAGCTAGCCATACATACTAATTACACAAAGGTGGTGACCGGATAGAAACATATGCTCCTCTGTCAAAAATACTGTACCTCTGGTTTTAAATGTACACTATGCTGGGTTAACATCCATATTTTGGTCCCCTTTTCTACATGTATGAGCTGCACTGTATTGATTTAGCATTTCCTTACCTGGTTCATCTGCACACTGGCCAAATTTGCAAACTTTTTTGCCACAGCACTGGTCATCATTAAAACAACCAAACCCATCAAGGCATTGCTGACACTGATAACTGAGTTTGCTACAGAACTTATCAGCACTGCAGTCATCGTTCTTGGTACATTCAGCCTAAAGGCACATTGGTACATTGTGTAAATAAAAGAAGAAAACTAACCAGGAAGTTTACCTAGAGGGAGTTTGAATCAAGGTCCAGGATACAATTTCTGTGGAACATTTCTTCATTAGTATGTCTCATTCATACGTGTCTTAAAGACAATAGCCAGAAAAATTGAAATTTTCATTTCCATGATAAGTTAAATACCCTTCATTTGTGAGAAAAATAAGCTGGCATCTGATCTTACATGTACTTCAAATTATTCCCTCTTATTTAAGTCGAATCCCTTCTTAACTTTTTGAGACATTCATGAAAAAGGTAGGTACATGTACATCTCCAGAATCCGTTTTTTATCTCTGCTTTTTTGACGAAGTTTTCATATTTGACATAAAACACAAACAAAGAATATGAATATATAGAACTTCCCTCATGAGAGACCATGAAACAAAAAGCTGTTCTAATATTTACAAGTATATGTATATAGCAATCCAATATTTCAAATAGATATTGAGTTTGGTTAAAGTTTCCTAATGAACCAACTTATCATTCAGTGGTTTACCTTCATTGCAGGCCCATTGTTTTTCACCTTTCGACGAATCGTTCCATTAGGATATCGAAACACTTCGATAACTTTACTACTGGAGGTTTCATTCCCTCCTGTTGGCTTCTTTCGTTCGCGAATCTTCGTTACTTCATGCGTTCCCTTTTCGTCAGTGTTTTTTTCGTACACTTCAACCTTCTCATGAAATGAATCCGACGAACTCGATGAGCCTGACGAGGTGAACGAACTGGATGAGCTTGACGAGCTAAACGAACTGGATGAACTTGATTCCGACTTCTTATCCACGCCGCCATCGTTCCATGAGTCCACGTCGCCAAGGCTCTCTTTGGGAAAATAGAACTCAGACGAGGACTGTCCAGTGTTTAATATAAGAAAAACAGAGAGCGAAAATACTATGAAATTCTTCATTGCTGATCTCAAGTTGAAACACTACACTTTTACCAAAACAAATTGCAACTCCCGCAGTTACTCGATTGCTTACACGTACGTGATGTAAGCTGTCATGGAAACTCTCCTACAATTCAAATGTCCCGGATGGAAATGAGCCACATTGTCAGTGCAGACACCTGTAAGCTGAAATCACTAAACGTCTTAAAATCCTCAAAAGTTACTTTCTTTTGATTTCCTGGGGGCATTTAATTTCTTTCTTTATATGACATATGATAATTTCCCTTCTTGTTGTAATCTCGATCTGTTGCAAAAATACAGAGCAGAATTTGTTGACAGGTCAAGCCTGAACAAGTATAAATTATTTATACAGTTGATTTTCATGAACCCTATTTAAACGCGTTCGTGCGTTCCTACCCGTGAAATATATATGTGTTATTGACCAAGGGTGAGGTCAAGATAGCTGGATATTTGCCGAGTTATTTTTTTGCATTCTTATGGACCAAGAAGAAGTTGAGGTCCATACAAATACCAATGTTAAAGGACAATGCTAATATCCAGCCATCTTGACCGAACATAAGATTGGTCAGTTAAAGATTTTTATATTGGAAAAAGATTTCGCTCTATTGATAATGAAGAATGACTTGTTTGCTTCGAGATCCGGGAATGAAAGTTGACTGTGTTTGTAGCATAATAGACTCACGAGAGTCGCCTCTGTCTTCTTTTTTAACCCCTTTTTGCGTCTCCATCATCGGCATTGTTCAAGAACTACGAACTTAGTACTTATTCAATTTTTTTCAGGGCGGGATCAAAGTGGTAAATCCGGAGCAAGGCCAATCTTGCCCGCTCAGGAGGCCAATTAGAACACAGTTCACTTTAATTGCTCACGGGCGCTGCCAGCGATATCATAATTAATGTTCTGCCCCGTCTACCAACTCACTAACAGTTCCTCCTTGTTTCGGCGAAAGACGTTTTCATGGAGAATTGTGCGCGAGTGAATATGTGTTGGACGTGTAGGAGAGATGGGGGGGGGGGGGGGG